CAGGGATCAAGGAGAGTTGGAGACACGTCGTCGAAGAAGTCTCGGTCAGGTTGTATTGTTCCGAATCTTTCGGCTTCTTTCAATTTGATTGTAGTATTTATTGTTTTATTATAGAAATGCCTCCAAGAAAGTATCTTTCTGGATATGATAAACGCAAAAAAAAAAGAAAAATTGAACAATTTATCCAAACTCAAAGTGGAGCGCTTGATAAATTCATTGTTAGAGAAACACAAGATTTAGTTGAAAAATCAATTAAAAATGATAACATTAATGATTTGGGCTTGAATGAATATGATAATGAAAATGTTGATGATCAAAGTAAAAACATTAATGATTTGGGCTTGAATGAATATGATAATGAAAATGTTGATGATCAAAGTAAAAATAAAAATGATAATGAAAATGAGAATCAGAATGAAAATGGATAATGAAAATGTTGATGATCAAAGTAAAAATAAAAATGATAATGAAAATGAGAATCAGAATGAAAATGGAAATGATAATGAAAATGAGAATCAGAATGAAAATGATAATAAAAGTAAAAATGTGAATCAGAATCAGAATGAAAATGATATTGACAATGAAAATGAAAATGAAAATGAGAATCAGAATGAAAATGAAAATGAGAATGAAAATGAGAATCAAAATGAAAATGAAAATGAAAGTAAAAATGAGAATCAGAATCAGAATGAAAATGATATTGACAATGAAAATGAAAATAAAAATAAAAATATTTTAGGCAATGAACAACCTAATCAGTCCATGCTCATGAATTTAAATATTTATGATCCAAGAACTTGGGATAATTTGGACACAAAATCTAGAGATATATTACTTAAAAATGACCCTATAAGAGATCTATTAGTCGAAAAAGATCCTAAAGATAAATTAGGAAGATGTTTTTCTTCAGCATTTTACACTAGGCATTTATCAAATGGAGAGAAATGCGATAGGGAATGGTTAGTTTATTCAAAAGATATCGATAAAGTATTCTATTTTTGTTGTAAATTGTTTAAAAATGGTTTTAAGAAAAGTTTTTTAATAAATGAAGGATTTAATGATTGGCAACATCTTAGTGCTAGGCTTAAAGAACATGAAACAACTAATGAACACATCATTAACATGAGTACTTGGCTTGATTTACGCATAAGATTAAAGAAAAATAAAACAATCGATAAAAATATTCAAGAGCAAATTAATAAAGAGAAGGAACATTGGAAGAAAGTATTACAAAGAATAATTTATGTTGTTAAATATCTTGCTAAACATAACTTGGCATTTCGAGGAACAAATGAGAGAATTTATCAAAATAATAATGGAAATTTTTTAGGCCTAATTGAAATGATTGCAGAATGGGATCCGGTAATGCAAGAACATGTTCGACGTATTAACCATGATGAAATTCATTATCATTATCTTGGTCATAGCATTCAAAATGAATTGATAAGTATGTTAGCTTCTAAAATCAAATGTGTAATAGTTTAAAAAATTAAAGAAGCTAAATATTTTTTAGTAATACTTGATTGTACTCCGGATGCAAGTCACCAAGAACAAATGACTTTAATATTACGATGTGTCGATATTTCTACAAGCCCGATAAAAATAGAAGAATTTTTTGTAGAATTTTTAAAAGTAAATGATACATCTCGACAAGGAATTTTTGAAGAATTGCAAAATATACTAAAAGCTCTTAATCTTGATATTGATAATGTACGAGGTCAAGGGTATGATAATGGGTGTAATATGAAAGGGAGACACCAATGTGTACAAAGAAAATTACTTGATATAAATCCTAGAACATTATACACGCCTTGTGGTTGTCATAGTCTTAATTTAACACTTTGTGATATGGAAAATTGTTGTGGTAAAGCAAAAGACTTTTTTGGAGTGATACAATGTATTTATACATTATTTTCTCACTCAACAAAACGATGGCAAATTTTGATAAATAATGTAAAAGGTTTAACTGTGAAGCCATTGTCGGCTACACGTTGGGAAAGCCATATTGAAAGCGTTAAAGCAATTAGATTCCAAACGCTTGAAATAAGAGAAGCACTACTTCAGTTAGCAGAAACTGATAATGACTCTAAAATAAGAAGTGAAGCATATTCTTTAGCAACACATGGAATTAAAATTTTAAATTTTTATTAAGTATGATTATTTGGTATGATATATTGTTTACTGTTAACTTAATTAGCAAATTTTTACAATCTAAAGACATGTTTATAGATATTGCTATAGATCAAGTAAAAGGATTAATTAGGTTTTTTGAGGATTAATATAGAGAAGTTGGGCTCACACAAGCTATGACAATTGCTAAAGAAATTGCAACTGAAATGGAAATTGATTCTGTATTTCAAGTAAAACGTCAAATCCGTAGAAAAAGACAATTTGATGAGAATGTTAATGAGGATACAACACAATCAGCTGAAGAATCTTTTAGAATCAATTATTTTTTGTATATTGTAGATCAAGCTATTGGTTCACTAAAGAAAAGGTTTGAGCAGTATAAAGTATATGAAGATATTTTTGGATTTTTGTTTGGTTCAGAAAAGTTAAATTCATTAGATGATAATAATTTGAAAGCATGTTGTGATAATCTTAAAATTGTTCTAAAATATAAAACATTTTCTGATCTTGATGGGAAAGATTTATTTGGAGAACTAAAAATCTTACGAAATATTTTACCAAAAGAAACAAAGATGGCTATTGATATACTGAATTTCTTAAAAATACAAAATTGTTTTCCAAATGCATGCATTGCTTATAGAATATTATTGACTATACATGTTACAGTCGTATCTGCAGAAAGAAGTTTTTCAAAATTAAAATTATTAAAATCTTATCTGAGATCGACCATGTCACAAGAAAGACTAAATGGGCTAGCTTTGATATCCATTGAAAATGATTTTATAGATAAAATTGATGTTAAAGGCTTAATTAATGATTTTGCTAGCTTTGATATCCATTGAAAATGATTTTATAGATAAAATTGATGTTAAAGGCTTAATTAATGATTTTACAGCTAAAAATGCAAGGAGGACAATTTTTCGATGATACTTTTTGATGCTAAAGGCTTCGATGTCTCTTATGAAGGTAAGCACGGATACAAAAGGAACATAATATGCAAGTATTTCTTACTATGGACTATTTGCTCTATTGGAAAGATTTATTAAGATGAGATTACATGCATTTATCTAATCAGTAACATTTTATTCAGGTGACCGAAGAGATGAAGAATGGACAATAGCACTTGAAAAGTATGTTAAAGACTATCCAGATGTAAAAAAATCAGGTAATATTTTAATGTCTGAAGTATGTTAAAGACTATCCAGATGTAAAAAAATCAGGTAATATTTTAATGTCTGATCAGTAATATTTTTTCCCTAGCATTTTAGGGATTCAAATTGAAAATTATTGATATTTTGTATATAGAGAAGGGCATGTGTTTACTTTTCGCACAGGGCCTCTAAAATCTCAGAACCGGCCCTGAGGCTGCCCATATTTATAGTAGTGAATTAGAATTAAAAACATAATCCTCAGTGATAATTTCGAAAGAATAAATGTATAAGCCATTTGTATTCTTATATATAAAAGGGATAACTATTGTAAAAGAGAGATTAAAATTAAAATTAATTCAAATTTTAAAACTCTTAAATAAAGAGAGATTGACGATTAACAAGTTTTTTAGAGGGTTGTAATGTAATTTTTAGATTTAAAGGAGGTTTTTTTGTAGTTTTTGAAATTTACCCTTTAAAAATTTGGGAGGGCCACATCACAATTTTTTTACATCTTTTAATTATTAGATAATTATAATTTAATTAAGATTAAAAATAATTTGATTATTAGGACTTTCTATTTTTTTATGTATATAATTTTTTTAATTATGAATATGAATAGTTTTAATTTGATGAGAATTCTTAGAAAGATAATATTAGTTATACACATGTCATTTTCTAATAGGATTGCAGGATCTTATTGAGAAGGTAACACGTGAAAATTTTTTTGGTATGCATGGCTCTTTTTGGTGCCTTTAAAAATAGCTTAGCACTTTCTCTTTACTATATAAAGTAGGATAAAATGTTTATCGTTATACATTTTAACACATGCATAGTTTCTTTCAAAAATTATGAATTATATATAACTAATATGTGAAATATGTGAAATTACAGTACTTAGAACTTTATATGTACATATTATATTCTTAGCTCTTTTCCAATTTATATTAGACCAAACGTGAAATGATATTCAAAATTACTACCTGCAAAGATAACTTAGAAACGAAGGCTAGATAAGATAAAAACATGATAGGTAAACATTAAAAAAAAATCAGACTTACCTGTGCTAGATAACACTTGTACGAGGAAATGCGAAATTAGTGTATTCCCAGGATTTACTATCATGACCAAGTTATAATTGATATCCGCAGAATCATGTAAGTTTCTTGTAAATTGTCCCCTAAAGAACCAATACAAATAATACCCGGATAATTTAAACGGTAGCAATCAACTCATATATTCTAGTAACAACAATATACCTCTTGTGGGACAAAAACCATGCACATCACAAGCTGAGTGCATATCACTCCTCAACCAGGCTAAAATCATACTGAAAGCATAAATTTACGTCCAGTAAACCCAAAAGAAACCTGTACGTGAGAGAAGAGCTTCACTAACCTCAAGATTCCACGGAGAACAACTCTTGAGGCAAACCAGAAACCTGAATTTGGCAGGATTTTAAGAATCCAATACTCTCTTTTTTTTCTTTTTCTTTTTTTGTCTTCACTAACCTCACTATCCTCCAGATTCTTATAGAGAATTAACCCTGAGACGTTCGTCATTCACCACAAGAAGCTTTTACTTGTCTTCTCAAAATAAATAAATAAACAAATACATAAACATCAAATTAAAATCTGGAGTAGAATTAACCTTCAATTTCAACTATGTTACAAATTTTTCATCATGAAAAATGCAATAGCAAAAACAAGAAATAGACCATGCTTAATTTAGAAACATGTAAGCTTCGTGTCATTGATATATCCATCATATATAAAAATATTACAATTCTGAAGTTTTACATCTAAATAGCATTTCGTTTTCATTTAAATGTTAGAAAATAATAGCAGAAGAAGCATAGGTTTAAATGATAATGAAAGATACATCATTAGTACCATGTCATTGTTGAACAAAACTAACGCCTGGATAAAAGCAATGCTTTGCTAGCAGCAGAAGGGCATATCCTTGTATGTAGGCATTGACTTCTCTCGAATAAAGCTCCTTCAATTTGCATTCGACTCAAATAAGAAAATATATTTCTCAATTTAAGAAGATTTAAAATTTAAGAGCAGCTTTGGCCATGGCTAAGGCTCCATCGTAAGTTTGATTCCCACCAATGAATCCGCTCATATGAACAAAGACACATCCAGAAATACCAGCCTCTTTTGAAAGATTTTCATCTCTCAGGCCCCTCCAAGGCAGTGGGAGAGGTTTTCGGCTCTCAAATTTATCTGGAGATACCGCAACTGCTTGCACTCGCCATTGTTTGCCTCTATCGTCCTGAAATAATACATTCAAACATTAGAAGACGTTTTTTGTGCATAATGGATAGAACAATAATATACACATAGATATACATGGGAGCAGGACTAGTATCAAATATGCTAACAAATATCTAATACAACTCTTTTAATGAAACTAGGTTGCATACTCTAAAATGTCACACCTCAAGCCCATGGGTCTGTTGGCGCGTTACAAGTCGTGGATCCCACTAAGTATAGTGTGTTGTCTGGCTCGAATCACCACCAAAATCAACTAACCAATGCTACACTTGAGTCTTTGATTTTATCTATATAAACCATTTAATCTCCCACATACCCACCAATGTTGGACTAAAGTCACTTGGGGCATGACAATCATCCCACCTTAAATACGTGACGTCCTCGTCACGACATGAAAATTGGCACATCCCAGTATCACCGTCAAGTGACGTGAACTCTAGAGGTGGCTCCCATAGCACTCACACGGTATAGTACTTAGCCCCCCACAGCACTTAGCTCCACATTTTCGGCTGGCAAACTGCTCTGCTACTATTTGTAACAACCTAAGCAAACAAGCGCGGTGTAAGTCATAGGATCCACCGAGTATAGCGTGTTATTTTGCTCGAACCACTGTCAAAATCAACTAGCTAATGCTATACTTGAACCTTTGGCTTAATCTATATAAACCATTTAATATCACACATACCCACCGAAAAGGGACTAAAGTCACTGGAGGCATAACATAGATCTATCGCATCGTACTCTAATTACTTGTGAGCTTTGTGTTTTATACATTAGCTTGATAAACTTCTAAGGATTTTTTGTATATATACCCCTTAAATCACGTGTATTTGCTAAACTATCCCCTAATTCTCAGTTTTTACAAAACTACCTCCCAAATCATCAAATTTGAAAATAAAATAACACACAAATGGCCATCAACTTGATAGATTAATTTGTAATTGCAATATAAAAAATATCAAAGAAAAAAATTATAATTTTTACGCACCATATCCAACGAAGTTAGTGATCAGTGGATTAGGAGATATTTTTTCCACAGTTGATGATGGGGGATAGCTTGCCAGATATTAAGATTTGGAGGATAGGTTTGCAAATATGCATAATTTAAGTGGTATATATATAAAATAGCCCAACTTAGAAATATTATTTGTCTCTTGACATAGACATGTTACAACGCTGAAGTTTTACTCCAAAATAACGCACCATTTGCTTATAGTTAAATGTAATTACAAGCATGTGACTTTTATGTCTAAATAATAGTGAAAGTTGGCATCAGAGATAGTACAATGTAATTTGTTGCACAAAATTACAATATTATTGTTGAACAAAACCAACATTTAGACAGAAGGATGCTTCAATTGCTTTTCTAGCAGCAGAACTGCATTCCTTTGTAGTGAAGACATTTATTTTTATACTATAAAGCTCCTCCAATTTGCACTCAGAACAAACAGGAAAACATGACTTCTGGGCAGGTTCAGCAGTCATTAACATCTGATACGCAGCTCTAGCATGGCTAAGGATCCATCGTAAGTTTGATTTACACCGATGTATCCGCTCATGTGAGCAAATACACATCCAGGAATACCAGACTATTTTGAAAGATCTTCATCTTTCAAGCCCCTCCAAGGCAATGGGAGAGGTTGTCGGCTCTCAAATTTATCCGGTGATATTGCAACTGCTTGCACTAACCAATTTTTGCTTCTATCTTCCTATAATTATATAATCAAACCTTAAAAAAAGAATTATTTTCTATGTCTTCTTCAGCATTGGATATTGAAGTTGAACATGTCTGATTGTAATTTATGGAGACAAAAATAACAAATACATAGATATCGAAGGAAGCAGGATTAGAATCACCATTTTCCATAAAGCTGTATATAATATTTTAAATGAGACTAGTTTGCAAACTTGATATGTGTTGTACCATATACTTCAATTTATTTTTTACCTTCATGTTTTACGGGAAAAAATTTCCACATCAAAGTCACAAACAAGCACCCAGAGGCACACGAACATGAATGCGACAGATACATGGTTGACCATTCTTTTTTTTTCTTTTAAGTTGCAAATCCACTTTCTCCACTTAGACTCCTATCGTTAGACAGGTTAAAGACAAGCATGGAGAGGCGCAGGGGGTGAATAGCGTTTCAATTTGGATTCTCAGTTTTTTCAACTACTC